TGAGTTTACCGTGACGTATGTAATGCGCCCGAGTCTGTTGTTAGCATTTAGCATTTAGCCTAGCCATCTCCTTTGCCGCTAACAGAGGCCGTGGGGAGTAGCGCCACAATCTTGACCAGCGATTACATTTGCTAAACACAGTGTTGTGCCAGTTCACAGCTTTTCTGAACTAGTTCAAGTTCAGTTCAAACATGCTCAAAGTGAACAGTTAACGTTCAAAGTTCACATTTTTATTTATGAACTAGTTCAAAGTTCAGTTCATTTAACTTTTTTCGTGAGATATTTAAATAAATCTTTTTTTCACACTACGAGCTATATATATATATATATATCCTGTACACCCACAGGAGGAGAGCCTTTTGACTAGAAAACAGACTAGATTTACATGGTTTTCAATGGGAGCCAAACGGAGTTGTTCCATCTCTGCTCATAAACTACAGACAGTAATGCGCTGCAGTGCGTGTGTCTATACTTTATGTCAAGTGTAAACTTTGTCGCTAACTCACCCTGTGTTTTCATCACGACTCGGGCACATGTAAAAAGCACCAGCTCACAGCGCCGCACCGCAACACGGAGTCGGGGTGCGTTCACAGACGGTGGAAACCGTAGGAGTTTTTAGATTTCGGCAGAAAAAGTGCGAGAATACAGGAGGGAGGAACTTTCTCTTGTTGCGTTTCAAAAGAGAAAACGGATTCCAACGTTCATAGTGATGTCTGCCGTTCATGACACATAAAATGAACTAAATCACGTTCAAGTTCTTTTTTTGAAAATGTGTTGCGTTCAGTTCAACGTTCACGAAAAAATGAGCGTGTTCAATGAACGCGTTCTTTTGAACTCGTTCACGCACAACACTGGCTAAACATTACCCTTGCTCCGGCTTCAATTTCTTGATAGAACCAGACCAGATTTTTTGCCATTACCAAACTACAACCTGCCTGTTCGACGCAAACTCTTGACATCACCCACATCGAACTATAACACCTGCCTTCCGCGCTGGCTGAATGGTCGGTCGAAATTCAACCGATTGTAATTGCTAAAGACCAGACCCAGACGTTACATGCAGTGAAATGATGATTGAACGGAGTGTAGGATGGCTAATGCCAGACTAAGGAGGACATGGAAACTAGGTGAATCCTGTTCTACTACTGCAAAAACTGCATGCGCCGCGTGGTCACTCCCCTGGCGTTCCTGTAGATAGACCCGTCCCAAGATTCTACACCTCACAACAATGTATAACATGCATATTTTGGAAGAGCTGAAGTTGGCTGGATGACACACTGATCTTGTGTTTATGATCTCAAAAGCTTCTTTGGGTTACCAAGGCAGAGGGCCGCGTGCAATGAAAAAGAGTGCTTACCTTTTGTAGACCTATAGGGAAATGTTATGTGTTATGTGTATCTGCTTTTTATCAGGTCCTCTTGGTCAGTTTTTGGCTGATACTGTTAATGCTAGCACATAAGGGAATCCACCCAGACACAAGGAAATCATCTAACTCCCACAGAAAGGACAAACTCAAAAACCTTTTGTTCTTTAGGTCATGATGACTGACTGCGTTGCGCAGTATTGCACATTTAGTTTTTAGTTTTATTCTTTCAGTTTCTTTTTTTATTATATGAAACTATATGAAACTCCAATAATAATTTTCTGAAACAAACACGTTTCACAAACGAAACCGCTGATTACTTTGAACCAAGGTGTGTTATGCAGTCAATTATGTGTGAGCTGTAATACATTTCTTCTGAGTAATTGCTTGTCTGAACTTGATACATGCCACCTTCTGGCATATTACCTGTTTCTATGTAAATGTATGCTTTTAGATTCAGACTCTGCCAAAGGCCATTTGAATTATATAACATAACAGCCCATAAACCTACAATCCATGACATAACCTATGGTTAAAGTTTCTCTGATTAAATTTCAGGTTACGATTGAGGTTAGAGCCAAAAATTATATTTTGAACCCACCTGACTTTTATGTAATCTCACTGTTAAATTAGCCTTTTAAAACTATCTGCAGAAAAGTTCATAAGAAGCAGAATGAGGTGAGACCAGCTTATGATAGAGATGGGCAGGGCACAGTGGGCAGAGTTATTGTTGGTGCAGTTCTACACGGCCATCATCGAGTCCATCCTCACCTCCTCCATCACCGTGTGGTTCGCTGGAGCCACAGTCAGGGACAAACAGAGACTACAGCGCATCGTGCGCTCTGCAGAGGAAGTGATCGGCCGCAGCCTTTCATCGCTGCAGGACCTGTACGTCGCCCGAGCTCGAGGCCGGGCTGGTCGTATCACAGCCGACCCCTCTCACCCTGCACATGGACTATTCCAACCACTCCCCTCAGGCAGGAGGCTGCGGTCCATCAGGACTAGAACCTCCCGCCACAAGAACAGTTTCTTCCCCTCTGCTGTTGGACTCTTGAACACTTCTTAACTTCCCCGCCCTTTTTTAAAGTCACTTTACTGCCCATCATACGTCACTTTACTTCACTGTACTGCTGTCACCTTACATTGTGTGCACCATGTGCACTTGTATATTGTAAATAGTAACTGTAACTCTATTTTCAATTTAAATGTATTCCTTAGAAGTGTTTTTTATTCTTTATTTTTTATTATCTCTTTCTGACTGTTGCACTGAGCCAAAGCAATTTCCAAGTCTGTGACTTCCTGTTACTTACGTGGCAATAAAAATGATTCTGATTATAAACATGTTGAGAATGGTTAAGTCATAGAGCCCATGTACAGCAACAAAGGAGCATCAGTTTGTTATTAGTAAGGCCTACACTAAAGGGATGAGAGTGAAAAAACATGGAAGTTAGTTTTGATTCATATTTACTGAGGATAGGGTTGATAGATTTAGGATGCAAAAATCCATGGCATTTTGTTCTTTATTATAACTGTATTAAATTACTGGATGTGCAGTTTGTGTAAATATGAAAATTAATGGTTCTTTGTATTGTGTCTCCTCTTAACACATTTAGAATTGCATAACATTTTGTTCTGTTTAATGGCCTAACCCCATGTGTTTTGATTTAGTATCTGGGCCATGTTCTCAAATTCATGGAGTGTAGATGAGGTAGATGAGGTGAGCCCAAGTTTTACAGTGTTTTTCAAATTGTTGTCATATTGCATCGAGCTAAACATTGGCCAGTCTGCCCAATAAAGACATTTTACGAGAAGAGAAATGAGTTAGACCATGTGTCAAGTCAACTCTAGTCAAAAGGTACTTTCTGACATCTTTGTTTTCTTTCTGAGTCAAAGTAGTATGCTTACCTTGTGTGATGTGATGGTTAATTCTGTTATTTCACAAGAAGAGGAGGAATGGGGCTTTATGAAGTCGGTTCTCTGTGTCTGTGTACTGTGCAGGGTTTTTACAGTTTACCATACTATATATGTATATATGGAGAATTTAAACATATACAATAGCTTCTTTTCTCTGATGAAATGCATGATTTAAAAGTATTCAACTTTATCATATTGTTTTTATTTTACCTTTGATTAGCCTACCAAGAATCGTCATTCAATTATTACCATGATAATGCCAGTTTTAAGAATCAAGCCAAGCTAAACATACACAGACAACTAAAAGAAAACCCTGGATTTAAACGTAACAATAACATTCTTAATCATGCCATTTTACATTAGTTTTTGCAGTGCAGCAACTGCCATTCAGTTATGTGGACTTTACATACAGCTGTTCAATCTGTTTCTCATTTGTTCTCGGTCATTATGTAACTCGGGGACAATGGCTGCCTACATGCTTGGTCCTACGCAGCATAGAAGTCTCAAAGGGAGGAGGAGACCTTGGTATTCAGCAATTACAGTGAATGTAAGGACTAAACCAGAACTAAACCGTGAAATCGACGGGTCTAAAACAAGACGGGCAGTTGTGAGGAGCGCAGTGCCTGATTGAAAGGGCATGCCGCTCTAATTGTCTGTATTACATTCATCTCAAAGGACATGTCTTGGCCTAGTGTACAGATGGCTTAACTGCATTAATACATTATAGCATTATGCTAAATAAGTAGGGTTATAGTTGGGAGTGGACTAAGGGCATGTTCACAATAATTGGTCAACTTGTTTAACTTTGCAGCACTGGTCAATTTCAAAAGAAGTGACTTTACTAAGAATAGTTCTTTTGCAACTGGTATTGAAATGAAGAAACATTTTCTAGATTCTCCTTATTATGCTAAAGTCAGGGTTTTTTGTACTAATTTATTACTTCATCATGCTGAAGTTGGAGATTTTAAGACTTCTTTCCTCATTATGATAGAGATTTTCAAGTTATTATTTATTCATTGTTTGCTGTGTGCTCCTCATTCCTACTGTTCTGTAACTTGTGATGCAACACTGAAATGTCCCCACTGTGGGACGAATAAAGGATCTCTTAATTTTGATATAATTAGATGCGTTCAGATTTGTTTTTGTTTTTCTGGAGTGCCTAAACGCCACGCTGGTGCTTTGAACACCTGGATGTGTCCTGTCCAGATCAGTGACTGTATTCTGTTTGGACCATAGAGAGTATTATGACGGGACTGTCCGGTTTGAGCACAGAGCTGGGGGTGCGGGTGCGCCTCCCTCGTGCTCTGATTGGCTCACGCTGTCCCCCAAAGCACGTGCGTAAGCCCCTCCCTCTAATGACTTCTCCGGGAGAGTTTCCTTCCAGTCACACGCGCCGCATGCGTCCATCGTGTTGGATTACTGCTTTTAAACCTGCTCTTTTATGGACTGCTTATATATTTATGTTTTTAAAATGAACATTTAGCCTCCTGTTTTATACAAATCGATACTTTTTACTATGAGCGTACTGATTTTGTGACACCTGTTCGCCGCATTGGACACTTTTGCTTATTTGAACACGTATGTTATGCGTGGATGAATTTTTAAGAAGCAGTTGTTGAAATCTATCCTTTTAAAATGGTCACGGAGTGCGTAATTGTCGAAGAGGAGTAATTTATTTCCCAGAAATTTCTTCTGTATTCACCTGCCACGCTCCACCGGCGGCATGACCCTGGGCGCTGTGTCCTCCTCGGAGAGCTCCTCCGCGATCAGCTTCTGCGCCTGCTGCGGGGAGAAGATGATGCCCTACTTCAGCGAGGACGCGGTGGTCAACAAGAACCAGATCAACCAGCTGTAAGTGCAAGAAACCCCCATATCGCTTTTTAACGATCATTTGAATAATGCGTCTAATGGGTAATCCCATTCAAACATGTATGTTCTTCGATATAACTAGTTGTTTGAACACCTCTAACATCTTACCGACTTTCTACTTAATTTAAAAAAGCAGAGGGCTACAATCTGTAGTATGACTACTTGATCTCTGCCCCACGTCCTTCTTTTACTGTTCCATAACTTGTGATGCAACACTGAAATTTCCCCACTGTAGGACGAATAAAGGATCTCTTAATCTCTTTAGTCCCAGATTTTCCATTGATGACACGTGCATTGTACCAGCAGTGATTTAACACAATTATTGTCCTTCACTGCATGATAGAACTGACGACTTCTTTGGATCTGGATATGATTGCAGATCAGTAGGCCATATTAGGTTGCTAATTATTATTTTCAATTTCCACTCCCCTTTTTATTTTATTGAATTCATTATCCTTACTATCTCTGCAGTGGTCACCAGGCCATTTATGTAGTTCCTCAAACGTGGAGCAACTTTTTTTTTCTCATAAATCATGCATGTTTGTCCCGACTCCCAACACAAATTGAACTGTAAAAGTAAAATGTTCTGAACTAACCATGCTTGAAAATGACTCCTTTGCATACAAGTAAGAAACAACCCCGTCAGTCACTATTTGACGTTTTGGGCTGAGAGTGATTAGCTGACTGGGACTGATTGTCCTTTTTCACTTTTCTGTTTGAAAAGGCTGGTCTAAAGGAACTAGTTATAGTCTCCTTCTTTCTGGATTGACAGTTGTTTACCCCAAATTATTTTCCAATTGTTGTAGTTAATTCAGGTCTACAGAACTGTATGCCTTCATACTTTAAAACAGTTTGTGAATGTTTGTTGTGCTAACTGTGACCCTTTAATGTAATCCATTGTTGTCTTGTCAACATTTCAGTGACTTTTTATGAATGAGTAGCATAACCATGTTTCCATTTTCACACACACATGCAGATGCTATTCATTTTTTCTGACTGATGTGTCATCCACATTCTTGTGTGGACGATTGTTGAGTAAGTGTTTGCAACATCTGTATTTCCTGGTGACGTTACCAGTGGTTGGCGCCGCGCTCTGACCGTACTAAGACTTAATGTCCCTGTATCAAAGTGTGATTCACCTGCTTTGACGAGCTCGACACTTCCAGCAGCAAGAGTTGTAAAAGTTTTATTAGGAAATGTTTACTCACAAGTTGTTTGCCAAGGGCTTGTGAAGTGGATTGTCTGTCTGAGTATGAGCTTGTAATATACGATTATGGACCAAACCATAACATAAAAAACATAAATGCTGGGGAGGATCATTTTTTGGCTGCACAAAAAACTCCAATAATATTTCACAAACTGAATTGTATTGATTATTTTGCAACTATGCTACAGTTACTGCTTGTTTGTAGTGCATTAAATAAATTTTGCATCCTCATGGCGCGTTCATATATAACACTTGCATCAGATCATTGGGTGTAGGACTGGAGGGAAGACTAAAGGAAAGACCCCCATTTTACCATGTTACCAAACATGAGACTTTACTAGGTAAAAACATAAACAAATTGTGTGTATTATTTTAAAACCAACTGTAGCACTCAGAGGCTGTACATTGACCACAGTTTGGAAACTGAGTGAGAGTTGTTTACTTCCTTTCAGTCTATTAAAAACAAAGTACATGACAACATTATTCAAATCTTCTTGTACTCAAATAAGCCACAGTTTTTGTTGATAAGAGCACATCAGTGGAAATTGAACTACAAGTCTTATGTGGACATGTTAACGTTTTGTGCTCTACTATCATTGACACATTGTTTACTGACAGCACAAATGTATCAATCCTTGATTGACTAAATTGATCATCTATTTTGACATTACTCAATTCTCTTGATTCTAACACATGATTGCAAAATAAAACTGAGGCTGCACTTTTGAGTAAATACTTATTATTCTAGTCAGTCATTTACCAGACAATACAGTAAACTGGCAAGAGGCCATTGTCTGGTAAATATTAGTTATGTATTAAGTCCAATATTCCAAATGAAGGGGGAAACGTCCACACCATAAAGGAAGCCTCTTATTGCTTACCTGATACAACTGTCTGCAAATGTATTCCATGATGCCATTTTAGACCATTCATTCTGTGTAGACCATTCATTATGCCTTCATACTTTAAAACGGTTTGTGAATGTTTGTTGTGCTAACTGTGACCCTTTAATGTAATCCATCGTTGTCTTGTCAACATTTCATACTGTACTTTAAGTCCATAAACTTATGTACAGTGGAAGCCTGAAGTTTACTTTCAATACTTTGATTGATTTACATATACTTCTAATCTCTGTTGTAAATAATTTCTTATAGAATTATTAGTTTTTTTATGATCATTGAGCCATGACCAGATTTAGACATTGACAGTTCAATGGATATAAATATAGATATGTATATTTCTTATGAGGACAAACCAAGATTGAAACAAAGGAAAGTAAAGACTGGCCAGATAAGAGTTTCCCTCTTGTCTCAGTATTGACAGCAGGTTTTTTGTTCACCATTCCTATTTTAGATTTCCATTGTGACCATTTACATTTGTTCTGCTTTCCTTTGGATTTTTAAATGGTTTACTTTTCAACATCACCATCTGTTTGACCAAAGCAGACTAATTTTAGACCATTTTCTCTCAAGCCCTGCGTTAACTTGCAGCCTCTATTGTTGAAACCCAGATTAGTCCACAAAGCTTGGTGCTTTTGAAAGTCAATTTTAGTTCAAAACAGACCAGTGAACTAGGTCAGAAGCAGTTCCCATTCAGCCCAAACAGACTGTCAGAGTTTATGTCTTGTGGATAAGCAGTCCTGAAATATGTGGCTGTATTCAGGTCGCGTGATTCTAGACACGTATAGTAAGTATCTAGTGACCCATATGTGCCACTGCTGCACACATGAGCGCTGTGGTCTGTCACGTTTCAGCTGAGGTTTATCAGCAAGGTGTATGAGGAAAATGAATAGGTATAACATCAGTGTTTCAAATGCCGTTTAGACACAGGGAGTCCACTTAGTGCCCCCTACCTTGTAATTACTTGTTAAACACTGGTTAGAGATTAGCACCTTCAGAACTAAACAGAAGCACTTTTGACAACTATGTAGTACACAAACATTACAGGATTTCGGCAAGGCAAAGTGGTGTGCCCTACACATTTGTGTCAAGTCATTTTAGGAGGCTTGTGGCTAAGTTGGTTCTTTGAAAATACAAGTCACAAATGCATAGGGCCCGACTATATTGTGAGGAAGCATTCTATCGAACTGCATTATAAAGATTCATTAACGGTTCAAATATACAATGAGGGATTTATTCTTATTGGTTAAAAGTTGAATTTCAGGAGTTCCAATGATTGCAAAGTCTGGTCTGTTTTAGTGGGTAATGTTGGGGCTATCTTTAGCCTGACCTGGCATAACTCCTGTCAGTCTTATCAGTGTTGGCCCGATTCTGCTCAAAGCTTTTGAGGAACAATACTTTTTGAACAGCATTGTTGGCAGAAGTAGGAGCCAAAGTGAGTTTGGGAAAACAAAATTAGCATCCACTGTTTTATTTTTATCCTCACCTGGTTTTAAAATACATGCACACACAGGTAAATGTAGGTCAACCGCCATTATGTCTATAATTTCTCGCATGAGCACTGTACAGAGACAACTTTTGAGGGGGGTAAGTAATCCAAACAAATCCAAACAAATTTATTTTAACTTTAATGAACAATTTAACTGAAAAATACAAGCCTAATAGTTATTTTCATATTTTGATCTGTGTATGATAATTGGTCAACCGAGCTTTTAAACCCAAAGCTTTATTATGTCAATTCAATAAATTTTTTGTTTAGCCTTAAATCACAACAGTAGCTGTTTTGGAGGAATTTACAAAGCTGTTTATTTGCTAACACCGATCAGACGATTTAAACTGTTTGAACAGAGGAAATGCAATAAACACATAGGAGCCATTGTTTCATAGGGGGCGGGTGACCAATGTCCATGATTGTTAATATATTTCCATAAATGCCCTTAAAAGTTAAATCTTATTGAATGTTGCTTATCATATCTACTCTCTGATACATGATAATTATCTGGATATCATGTATGTAACATAACAAACCTGAATTTTGAACCAGCAATAAGGATGGATTTCTTTTATAGCTGTTAAACATGTATCCTCAACATCCCGTATAGAACCCTGTATGCTAACCTTATAGTCCCTTTCCTTGGCGGTTTTAGTCTCCAGAGCGGCGGGCCTTGATGCATCACTATATTTAACCTGCTCTCCTCCTAATATGGCCACAGCCTGTCGGGGAGGGGGTCACCAGTTATTTGTGCCCTCCGCAGAGTGGTCCTTACATAGCGATTGTGTCTGACTGTTGCCCTAACATGTAGCCAGCGCTTCCCTCTTCACCAAAACCATGCACGGCGGCGGCTTTAGGCAAAGAGATGACCCTCCCACTCAACTCCACTGTCAAACTATCTTTATCCTTCTATTCCAGATATACATGGACAAGGTATTCTAATGACTGCTATAAGGGTGCCAAGTCAGAGCACTAATATGTAGATCTGTTGGCTTGAGTGTGGAGTTGACTACTACCATTACATAATCAATGACAGACGTTTTTAATTAGCAAGATTAACTAATTTGAGTATAATTATTGCCACACCCCCTCACTTTCTAGTGTGAATATTTTTGCAACGTGACTGAAGATTGAACATTTATCACACATTTTTCAAAGCATTCTTAATTCATTTTTTGGCATTTTGACCATTATTTCATATCCAGGATTTGCACCTGCACAGATGAATAGACTAAGGTGCAGTTGAAGACCTTTGCAAAACTTATGCATGTACAGTAAGTCAGCTGTGTCTTTCCACATTACTATGTATAGACCAGGCCTAGTGTATCTTTGGTCTGTATTTCTGCGGCTAGGAGTCTTGTATTGCTGATAGCAGGAGCGTGCC